CATTCTCAATTTACTCTTTTGCTTCATTATTCAGTCAGTTACCAAGGATGATTATTTTATTTTATATGTACAGTACCTTGAAATTGTCCTCTCCCTAGTATTCCACCTTGCCTAGTTTAGTTTAAGAGTCAGACACTCATACAAGTTGAAGCTGAACGAGTACCATAAATGTTAAAAGTAGAACTCCTAGGATGTAGGAGAGTGTGTGATATCCTGGCAAACTGGAGACTACATGTCCTCAATGGGGTGCAAACAACACTCGGCTAAAGAGAATGATTGATGAGTGCCCCATGTAAGGGTCACAGAAAAAATTCTGAAAAATGCATGTAGTTCATGGACTGCTAATTTGCAACCTTTATTTTATACCCTCATCAGGTGTCTTCTGTACTGTAACAGTGGCTCCTGCCTTCAGTTACATTTGTGTCCAGTCCATCCTCTATACTGACACCAGTGTGATATTTCCAAAAGGCCAAACATGATCATGTCACTCCCCTTTTAAAAACAACTTCTGTATCACCACATTATATACTGCATAAAATACAAACTCCAATTCTCTACCGTGACATATAAGGGATCCTTCTTGGATCTAGCCTCTTCTTACATTTTCAGTCTCACCACCCACCACTCCCCCCCTCTCCCGAGCATTACGCTTCAGAAATAGAGAACTGCATGTTTGCCCAAGTGCTGCATATTATTGATGTCTCTGTTTTTTTCTCTTGGCCTACAATTTTGCCATCACCCTGTTCACCTGGTGGACATCGTTCAAACCTTACTTTGTTGTTATTAGGCGCTGTCCAGTCAATTTTTGACTCATAGCAACCCATGTGACAGAGTAGAACTGCCCCATAGGGTTTTCCGGACTAATCTTTATGGTAGCAGATCATCTGGTCTTTCTTCTGTGGATCTGCTGGATGCGTTCAAACTGCCAACCTTTCGGTTAGCAGTCAGGCACTTAACCACTTAACCGTTGCACCACCAGGCCTCCTTCAAGTCTTACTCAGACCTCAGTAACTCTCTGAAGGTCTCCTCTCATATATACTCACTAGAGTGTTATACAAAAGGACGTCAAATACTGTTCTCCTTAACTACCTTATACATGCATCAGACCAATCTCATGTGAGTTTTTATTTCATATGTGCCTCTTTTATTAATTAGCTTCTGTCCTCCTTTAATACACAATCTTGTCTCTTTTTGTTTTTT